ACAGGCCATATTCAACTGGTGTTGAGCGTTAGTAAATTAATCAGTTATTCTGCACTCTGGCACACTCAGACGAGAGTGCTCTGAAATCGGAGTAGATAGCCAGAGCGAATTTACGAACGCACCCTAAGAACACACCCTTTGGTACGTCCTTCTTCTTCTTCAGTGGGGTTTATCGGCGGTTGGCATCCAACATTATGGTGCATTACCGCCACCTACCGTACTGGAATGTGGGCCAGAGACAGAGAGAAACCAAATCCTACCTGCCAACCCTGTTTCTCTTCAAAAAGATTACAAAATATTTGAGACTATATCGAATGACATTCTGCTCAATATACTCTTTAAACTAATTTCCTGTATCCCCTTCTCCCTCATACTAAATCTCATCCTCTCTCTTTCCCTCTGATACTGCCCACATTGTAGCAATACATGCTCCAGTGTCTCTATTTCCTGACAATAATCACACTTTCCTGATGGATGCTTTCCTATCACGTTTAATGTCTTATTCAACTTGCTGTGTCCCACCCTTAATCTTGTAAAAATAGCCTCCTCTCTTCTGACCCTTCCTGCCGTCCTCCCCGACTTTCCTCTGTACCTGAAATAATTGCCTTCCCTTATTATTTGTATTCCACTGCTCCTGCCATCTCTTCACCATCACTCTATATATCAGTCTTTTTGCCTCTGCCTTGCTCATTGACATTTCAACATCAACATCCCCACTACTAAATGCTTGTTTAGTTTAATCTTATCTGAATACCCATCTGTTTAATCCTGCCACCCAAAGCTCGTGTTCGGTCTCCGCTCATGTTCCCAGCATGCCTGTAAAATCCCTTTCGCAGGATGAGACACCCCATGTCCTTGTAGGTTGACCCAATAATTCATTGCCAGCTGCTGTCTCCTAATCTGCAACAGCATATCCCTCATCTCCACCTGTAATGCAGCCACTGGGGACATCCGAAACGCCCCACTACATATTCTGAGTCCTTTCCCCGTATGACATCTAGCCTTTCCAGTGAGGTCCGGGCTGCCGAACCATATGCTATACTTCCATAGTCTATTACAGATCGGATCAATGCAACATACATGGTCTTCAATGAGGAATGCCCAGCCCCCACTCCTTCCCCGTCAGACAGCGCATCACATTTAGCACCTTCTTACACTTTCCCACCACTCTCTCAATGTGTTCTGCCCAGGTCAGTCTAGTATCAAAGTATACCCCAAGGAACCTGAAGGCCCCCACCCTCTCAAAGTTTCTCCCATATAACCTCAAGCATACCTCATCTCCCACCTTCCTCCTAATAAAGAACACTGTTTGAGTTCTCTACAGAGAACCTGAATCCCCACATTAATGCCCACCACTCTACCTCATCAATTGCTTCCTGTACCTTCCTGACTATGTATGGCACATTTCTTCCCCCCTTCCATAAGGCACCATCATCTGCAAATAACGACCTCCCTATATCCGGCTGTACCTGAGAGTAAACATCATTGATCATGATTGAGAACAACAGAGGACTAATCACGCTCCCCTGCGGTGTACCATTATCCACCAAGTAGCTGCCTGATAAAGACTTCCCCACCCTCACCTGGATAGACCTTCCAAACAGGAAGTCCTTTATCCAGTTGTACATTCTTCCTCCTACCCCCATAATATCAAGCTTGATTAACAACCCCTCCTTCCACATCATATCATACGCCTTATCCACATCAAAAAAGACAGCTACAACAGTCTCCTTGTTCAACTGAGCCTTCCTGACCTCTGCTTCTAAGCAGAGCACTGGATCCATAGTTCCCCTACCCTTCCTGAACCCACTCTGATGTGGCGTTACCAGCCCTCTGCTCTCCAGGAAGTAAGTTAGCCTCTCCGTAATCATACGTTCCATAATCTTACATACATGTGATGTTAAAGCTATTGGCCGATAGCTTGTTGGCTTCGTTGGATCCTTCCCAGGCTTCCGGATTGGTACCACTACTGCCTCCTTCCAACTGCCTGGTAGTTTCCCCTCCTCCCACACTCTGCTGTACAACACCAATACCTTATCCAGTGCCTCATCACTAAGATGGGCCAACATAACATAGCACACCTCATCTTTCCCAGGTGAACTTAACCCACCCTTACCTATTGCTCTTTTCACCTCTGCCCTGGTAAATGGTGCACTCAAGCGATCATTTACATCCTCCCTCCTTTCCAGCACTCCAGGATGCTCCTCTCTCATGTTCTCTCTCCCCCTCTGCCCCTCCTCTGACAGATTTGCGGAGCTATGCACTTGGACAAATGCTTTAGCCATCATCTCTGCTTTCTCCTCATCTGTTACTGCCACATCCTCCCCACTCGTCAACACTGGATAATCCCACTCCCTTCTGATCCCACTCATCCTCTTAATCATCCCCCACACTTCTCCCACAGGTGTCGCCCTTCCAATGGTGTCACAGAACCGATGCCAACATGACCTCTTTGCCTGACGGATAGTTCTCCTCACCATGGCCTGGGCCTGCTTATACTGAATCAGATGTTGGAAGTTATGCGTCCTTTTCAGTACTCTAAATGCCCTGTTCCTAATCCTCACCATTGCCCCACATTCCTCCGTCCACCATGGGACTGCTTTCCTCCTCCTCCTCCCTGAACTCTTAGGTATAGCCTCAGTAGCTGCCCCCACTAACGCTGTTCTCCCCTAGTTATTCATACTATCTACATCCCCTCTCATATCCACCCGAGCCATCACCTGCTCACTCAGCTCCTGAAACTGATCCCACTTTGCCCTTCCAAACACCCACCTGCCTGCTCCATCCACTAACATTTCCTCCTCCCTCCGGCCTACTGTACATACAATAGGGTAATGATCACTCCCTACTGTCGACTCCTCCCATACCTCCCACTCACATATTCCTATCATCGCACTATATACCAGAGTGAGGTCCAAGGCAGACACTTTCCCTGTGGCTACATCAATCCTGGTCCCTCTGCCATCATTCAGGCACACCAGATCTTTATTTTCTATCAAATTTTCCATCACTTGGCCATTTCCATCCCCCCCCCCCCCCCCCCCCAAAGCGTGTTGTGAGCGTTAAAATCTCCACACCACATTACCTTACTTCTTTCCTGGCCCTCCACCCTCTCCAGCACTTCCATTTCCAATATCTGACACGGATTACAGTAATTTACTACCACTAGCACCCCTCCTCTCAGCCACACCTCCACCACCACATACTCCTGTTCAATACCTTTGCCTATCATCTATATCCCCCTATATCTGAGTCCCTACGAACCACTACATATCCCTGTATGATAAACTCCACATTCGGTTTGAGCCATGTTTCCTGCACACAAATCACATCAGGCTTAGCTATCATATCAACAATGAACTGCTTGAATTCCTGCCCATTAGCCAACAGGCTTCGAGCATTCCATTGTAGTACTACCACCATAACTAAGATCCAGTAATACATGACTCCACCATCGGCTGATTGAGGTCATCTTGAACCTCTTCCCATGTCAACCCTGTCATACTCAAATGTCTCCCAGCAGCTTTCACTTAGTTTAATCCTCTCCGTTTTAGACTCTACTTTATCAGTGCTATTGATAGCTCCTGCTATGAACGTCACCAGCTTTCTCTTTTCTATGTATACCATATCGCTGCCCACCTGCCCCGTAATCCCTGGTCTAGATGCTCCTACCCATCTCTCCCTTGAACCTGTATCTCCCTGGACCTGGACCACCCTCACTGCCTTAGCATATAACACCCTTCTCTCCTGGACTACCCTCACTGCCTCAGCATGACACCCTTCTCTCCGCTCTCACTTGTTGCACCCCCACTGCCTTCTTCATAGCCTCACACCCACTATATGCCACACTATGAGCACCCCCACAGTTGCAGCACTTTGGTTGTACACCATCTCTACACTTCCCATACTCATGCTCTCCTCCACACCTGGCACACCTCTTTTTCTCTTTACAGACTGTTGCCACATGCCCAAACCTCTGGCATTTATAACATCTTAAAGGCTTTGGTACATAAGCACTCACATAATAACTAATATATCCTATTGTTACCTTATTTGGCAGTACCCGGTCCTTACAATGTAACAGAATAGAAACGCTATCTACCCTATTTCCACCCCTTGTTGCTTGCAATCTGTGTACATTCACTAGAATGCCTCCTCTCAAATGTTCCCTTACCTCTTTAGTGCTAACACTCACAAGCACTCTTGTTATCACCCCTGTACTCCACTGCTTCCCTGCTTGATCAGTCCAGCTGCTCAACTCCACCTTACACTTCCCTATTTGCTTCACCCCGATAGCTTTTTCCCTCTGAGCAATGTCCTTACAGCACACCAACAATCTCCCATCTCTTAACACTTTAGCATTAACAACTTCCCCAATCAACTCTTTTATCACAGCCGTCAACCTTATCGGACTCATCGCCCCAACTCCCCCTTCCTCCCTAAACCTCAATCACTTTATGCTCCTCCTCACCTCCATGTTCCTCTCATGTCTTATCTTGCCCTTCCTCTGCACTTCCTACCACCGAACTTCCACTAGCGTTGGAAGCTAGGTTGTTCTCCTCAAACTTCCTTTTCTGCCTCCTCTCTACCTCCGTAGACCTCTTGCTCCCCTTCATTCCCCTACTCCCTTTCTCTCCCGCTTTCTTTTTCTCTTTCTTACTCCCTCCTTTATTTGTACCACTATGTTCCATACTTGCTTCACTTTCCTCTCCATCACTATCTCCTACCATCTCTGACCCATTCACAGCACGGCTGTGCCGAACCTCCGCCACACCGAGTAAAGTTTGTTTGTTTTTCCGGTACAATGTGCTGCCAACCAATAAGTCTGGACGCCTTCGCTAGTCACCACGCTGCTCCACGCGGGAAAAAGTCCGCATTTTTCTCCCTCTGCCTTGGTACGTCCTGCGTAACATCCGGAATTATGTTTTAGCACGGAGTCTCGATTCTTATAACATCTTTGTAAGCAATTTGTTTAGTATTTTTCTTAAATTATGCCACAAAAGTCGAATTAATTATCAAAATATAAAATCGGTTCTCTATTACGTGAGAAGATGCTTCACGTAGATGAATTCCAAAAAGGGAATAATTTTTCTCCGGCAAATCTTAGGCCAGCCTTTGAGCTGGGTCCTTGAACTGTAAACATTCGCTTTTTCAGTGTTTCTGAGACAACGAACTGTACAGATACTGGTACTCGTGTGCAGAATGGTAACGTGAGAGGGAAAACATGAAAAAACAACACAGAAAAATATTCATCCTGATAGTTTTTGTCTATGTGGTGTTTTCCTTGTATGCTGCATACAATGTATTTTTTAATACGAAGGTGATCACCCGTGTCCACAGAGTGGTGAAGAAAATCACAGCCGCAACCTCCGGTAAGCTAGCTAGCTAACGTTACTTAGCTGACAAAATAAACTCCCTGTCCATAGCTTTTGGGTCATGTCCAATGTTGTAAATGATCATATACAGTCAACACGTGAATACCCTGCGATGGTTATGGACAGGTCATCTGAATTGGCTATTTGAAGACCTCTAACTAGCTAGCTCCAATAAGTGTTATTGTACTGTTGTTCTGACGATTACAGCTGGTGGTGTTGTGGCTGCTTACATTGGGGATGAGGTGTGGAACCCTTGGGAGGATGAGCAGGCTGATGCGCTTTCTGCTCTGCACAAACAGAGGGGGGCTTTCAGACAATACCAGGAGCACATTGATAAGAACAGGCCCAAGAGATACAAAGTTCAAATCTGGGGGAAAGCTGCCATAGGTAATGCCTTTTTAGGGATCCTCTGTGATAAGTTGTACACTTTTGCTTTATCTCTTACATTTACATTTTAGTCATTTAGCAGACGCTCTTATCCAGAGCCACTTACAGTTAAGTGAGTGCATACATTTTTCATACTGTTGCTTGATGCTTCCTCTTACAGTGTTAAGCTACATTATGGTGAAGAAAAAAAAACCTTCTTATGGACATTGTCACTCTGAAGTAACTCTTCTCTTCTTTCAGGACTTTACCTTTGGGAACATATTTTAGAAGGTCCCCTCAACCCCACTGACATAACAGCACAGTGGAGAGAGGGGGAGATACAGGCAGGAAAGATAGATTTCAGGTAAGGCATCACAAATGAGACTTCTATCACAATATAAGATGCATATGATTTAGCTGATGTCAGCTATTCTGACAGCCCCCCACCCCACCCCACCCTCTTGCTCTATAGTTTCTACACAGGCCCAGCGGTGATCCAGGGCCACGTTCCTCTGGACACAGACAGTGTGGTTCTGGTGCTGAACGGCCGGGAGCAGCAGAAGATCTCCTACGCCACCCGATGGCTGCAGCATGTCCAGACCCTGATGCAGTTCCACGCTGTGAATCGTGTGGCTGTGGTGCTGCTGGGCAGCGAGCGCTGCACCAACGACTGGATCAGCCCCTACCTGAGGAGGCACGGGGGCTTTGTGGACCTGCTCTTCCTGGTCTATGACAGCCCCTGGGTCAACGACAAGGATGTCTTCCAGTGGCCCCTCGGAGTAGCCACGTAGGTCATCTGAGCCCGTATTCATAAAGTATCAGAGAAGGAGTGCTGATCTAGGATCAGTTTTATCTTTGAGATCATAATTATATGGACAGAGGACCTGATCTTAGATCAGCACTCCTACTCTGAAACAGTTTGTTAATACAGGCCCTGATTTAGTTTGAGGGTTTCTCTGAGTTTGTTTCTCATGTTTCAGAATTCTTCATTTCTTGTTTGTCTTTCTTCCCTCACCATATACTTTTCCCTTCTTTCACTCATGTTTCCATTGTAGGTTTCATAGTAGTCAATTTTAACACATAGCGTATAGCATTGCACCAGAAAGGAGCATATTTTGAAAGTGGATCTGTATGCCCCGCTCTGTTCAGATACAGGCAGTTTCCTGTGGTCATGCCAAACTCCCAGATGGTGAGCTCCACAAGGCCCTTCCTCTGTAACTTCCTGGGAACTGTCTACAAGAACTCCTCGAGGGAAACACTCATGGGGATCTTGAAACAAACAGGACTGGACAAAGAGTGCATCACTACTGCCAGAGAGAAGTATTTCACTATGCTATGCTGTCACTGTCAAGCACTGTATCAATTCACGCTAATGGTTTTCAGTCCAATTTTTGCATCCTGTCTTTCTCAATGAGGTTTGGACCTCTAGTAGCTCACTTCACTGGAAATACTTTTGTTGGGAGGCCTTGTTTAATATCAATATCAATTGAGTCAACACACTCAAATAGCAGTTCAACCCTTTTTTGATCTTTACATTTAAAAATTCACGAAGAGCAAAGGGGAATTTACAAGTACTGTGTATATATTCACAACAGAAGCACAGTTTAAATACGTAATACATTAAAATTAACCCTCTGCTCACTAGACCATACTGTCCCTCCTCCTCTCCTGCATCAGGTGGCTTCCTCAGGAGACAGTGGAGAGTCTGAGACGGTACAAGACAGCCCTGGCCCAAAGCGAGCTCACCCTCTGCCCCGTGGGAATCAACACGGAGTGCTACCGCATCTACGAGGCCTGTGCCTACGGCTCTGTACCCGTGGTGGAGGACATTGTGACCCCAGGTGGGTGCTCTGCTGCACGCAGCTCCCCACTGCGTCTCCTCAAAGCTGCAGGAGCTCCCTTCATCTTTCTCAAAGACTGGAAGGAGCTTCCAGGCCTCCTGGAGAAGGAGAAGGGGATGACCCAGGAGGAGAGGACTGAGAGGAGGAGGACACTGCTGGAGTGGTATAGCAGCTTCCGCCAGCAGATGAAGGACAGGTTCACCGAGGTTTTAGAGGAGGCCTTCTTCAAAAACAGCTAAGTCTTTTTAAAGCTCAGAGGAAAACACAAAATGGCAAATAATTACGAGGTACAATGTGGATCTCATTGGCAGTGTGTTTGAGGGAGAAAAGCCACATTTTTTTGGATTTATGTGGGGTTATGGCTCCATTTTGTAAAGTTACCACTGGTAGCTGACAACTTTCTCTCACACAAGATAATGTTCAAACAAAACATTTCTTTCAGTCTATGGGTGAATTATATTAGAGTGAGGTGGCTGTAAATCTTGTTGTTCTCCATATTTTATTTTACATAGTTCAAGATTTACATGTATTTAATTTGTATTTATGTTGTAACATAAAAGATTAGGGATTTCAGTTACTCTTGAACTACTTTCTGAATGCACACTCCAAAGCAACATTGTATTCGACCTTTCAGTAAGGCCCAGTTATTGTATTTTTACCAGAGGAGGCTGGTGGGTGGAGCTATAGGAGGACAGGCTCATTGTAATGGCTGGAATGGAATTAATGTACCCGTATCAAACACATTAAACATATGGAAACCACATGTTTGACGTTCCATTTATTCCATTCCATTACAAAAAGCCCGTCCTCGTATAGCTCCTCCCACCAGCCTCCTCTGATTTTTACCCATCTAGATATTTGTCGGCTGGATATCTCATTTTCCTTTACGTTTACCATAGACCTGTCCTTAAACTATGTAGGGCTTGTTATTGTGACAGGCGTAGGTCTATCGCCAATGCAATTGCAGTAAACCATATCCTGTGGTAAACGATAACCTCATGTTTTCATGCTGTTAATACATTAGAGCTTGACAAATTATTAACACTGTTCCTGTTGCATCTTGTTTTCTGTGAAATGTTGTAAACTGTTTGTTTTGCCATTAAAACGTGTAATTTGTTAAATTGTAAATGTTTGTTATTTTTGATGAGACTGGAGAGAAAATGAATCTGTACCATAACATGATCTCCAGCAGATGGAGCAATAGAGCCTCATTAATTTCAGTACACATTGCTTTGCTGAATATAAAGTACATTTTAGTCATTTAGCAGACGCTCTTATCCAGAGCGACTTACAGTTAGTGAGTGCATAAATTTTTCATACTGGCCCCCCATGGGAATCGAACCCACAACCCTGGCGTTGCAAGCGCCATGCTCTACCAATTGAGCTACAGGAGGCCTACAGTACCAGTCAAAAGTTTGGACACACCTACTCATTCAAGGGTTTTTCTTTATTTTTACTATTTTCTACATTGTAGAATAATAGTGAAGACATCAAAACTATGAAATAACATATGGAATCATGTAGTAACCAAGAAAGTGTTAAACAAATCAAAGTATTTTAGTTTCTTCAAAGTAGCCACCCTTTGCCTTGATGACAGCTTTGCACACTCTTGGCATTCTGTCAACCAACTTCATGAGGAATGCTTTTCCAACAGTCTTGAAGTTCCCACATATGCTGAGCACTTGTTGGCTGCTTTTCCTTCATGCTGCAGTCCAACTCATCCCAAACCATCTCAATTGGGTTGAGGTCGGGTGATTGTGGAGGCCAAGTCATCTGATGCAGCACTCCATCACTCTCCTTGGTGAAATAGCCCGTACACAGCCTGGAGGTGTGTTTTGGGTCATTGTCCTGTTGAAAAACAAATAATAGTCCCACTAAGCACAAACCAGATGGGATGGCATATCGCTGAAGAATGCTGTGGTAGCCATGCTGGTTAAGTGTGCCTTGAATTCTAAATAAATCAATGACAGTGTCACCAGCAAAGCACCATCACACCACCTGCTTCACGGTGGGAACCACACATGCGGAGATCATCCGTTCACCTACTCTGCATCTCAAAGACACAATGGTTGGAACCAAAAATCTCAAATTTGGACTCAGACAGATTTCCACCGGTCTAATGTCCATTGCTCGTGTTTCTTGGCCCAAGCAAGTCTCTTCTTCTTATTGGTGTCCTTTAGTAGTGGTTTCTTTGCAGCAATTCGACCATGAAGGCCTGATTCACACAGTCTCCTCTGAACAGTTGATGTTGAGATGTGTCTGTTACTTGAACTCTGTGAAGCATTTATTTGGGCTGCAATCTGAGGTGCAGTTAACTCTAATGAACTTATCCTCTGCAGCAGAGGTAACTCTGGGTCTTCCATTCCTGTGGCGGTCCTCATGAGAGCCAATTTCATCATAACGCTTGAAGGTTTTTGCGACTGCACTTGAAGAAACTTTAAAAGTTCTTGAAATGTTTCGGATTGACTGACTTTCATGTCTTAAAGTAATGATGGACTTTTGTTTCTCTTTGCTTATTTGAGCTATTCTTGCCATATAATGGACTTGGTCTTTTACCAAATAGTGCTATCTTCTGTATACCACCCCTACCTTCTCAAAACAAATGTGTGGGCAGAACTGAAAAAGTGTGTGCGAGCAAGTAGGCCTACAAACCTGACTCAGTTTCACCAGCTCTGTCAGGAGGAATGGGCCAAAATTCACCCAACTTATTGTGGGAAGCTTGTGGAAGGCTACCCGAAACATTTGACCCAAGTTAAACAATTTAAAGGCAATGCTACCAAATACTAATTGAGTGTATGTAAACTTCTGACCCACTGGGAATGTGATGAAATAAATAAAAGCTGAAAGAAATAATTATCTCGACTATTATTCTGACATTTCACATTCTTAAAATAAAGTGGTGACCTAAGACAGGGAATTTTTACTAGGATTAAATGTCAGGAATTGTGAAAAACTGAGTGTAAATGTATCTGGCTAAGGTGTATGTAAACTTCCGACTTCAACTGTACATACCTGGGAAACTTCTAGCAGGGATTTCACTGATATTATCAGAATACATAATTGGCCATGGGCGCATTGGCCATCTGGCAATTCTAGCAAATGCCAGATGGGCTGGACACACAAAATTGACACACAAAAATATTTATTTAATTTAAAAATAATAATTAATTAAATGTGACATGGCCAGTGGCCCATGGGCCTGTTAAGGTATTTTAATTTTATACTAATCTATAATGAGCCTTTGGCTGATCATTGGACAACGACCGGCCCCCCTACCAAGATGGGCAGGCCCAGTTTAATGATAGGCTGAGCTGAGGTCACGCAAACTCACATTCAATGTGAAAATGCAAAATCAGCATAGAGACCTGCTCCGACTCTGTCATCAGTTAGACAGCCAAGATCATGGATCGTAAAAAATGGAAAGAATGCCTGTAAACATAGAAAGAGCACATTCTAAATTGCCCCCCGTGTAGCTCAGCTGGTAGAGCATGGCGCTTGCAACGCCAGGGTTGTGGGTTCGATTCCCACGGAGGGCCAGTATTAAAAAATGTATGCACTCACTAAAACTGTAAATCGCTCTGGATAAGAGCGTCTGCTAAAATGTAAATGTCCTCTCACTCAAAACGTCCTATTTTTCAGATGGCTACAGCCATGACTTGGTCAAACAGTGTAGTGCATTATCCTCATGATTCCTGTAATGAAAGTGTGTGCCCTGCCCCTGTGTCTGTTTCGCTGGGCCTGCTGCTGTAATGAGCGAGCCACTCTCCTCTCCCCCATGCGCTCGAGAGAAAAATGTTTCCTGATTGTATAACGTTTAAAAATGCAATTGCGGGAAAGACCTTCTCCTGGGGGCCTCCAAATCGTTAAGTCTGCCCCTGCTTCCAATGTTTACCAAAAACCAAAGGAAGCATCCAAAGAAAAGAACACCCTCAATTATGGGGGAGGTTTGATAATGCTGTGGGGTTGCTTTGCTGCCTCTGGTACTGGAAGCCTTGCACGGCCAGCTCTAGCCTTTTGGAGGCTCTAAGCAAGATTAAGTTGGTGGGGGCACCCCATTTCACAGTAAAACATTTTAGTGGCCCCCGTCTTGATGGTGGAGAGATTTTAATTTTAATTTTATTACATTTCCCATAATTCTACACCATTTGCCATGAGCGTAGATAAAATGTTGCAGTTTTTAAGCAACATTTCATACAATTCTACTTATTTTGACATGAGGCAGAGATAATTGTTGTTGCAGTTTTACAGTTAATTTCCTGCAATTCTACCCATATTGCGATGGGGTGGAGAAAATTGTGTCCGTTTCAAAGCTAATTTCATGCAATTCGACACATTTCGTAATTACTTATGCCATGTTAATATGATATCTGAGTGGGAATGATTAACAAAATCAATTGGGGCCCCCTGGGGGTCCGACCAAATCATGGGCTGGTGCCAGGTGTGAGGTGAGTTCGCAGTTCGCAGTGATGTGGGCTTGTGTGGATAAAATGCCAAGGCCGAATTCTTGCCCCAGTCCGCCCCTGTAATTGGCACTACTGGTTAGACAAAAATCATGTCAATCCATGTCTTGTTTCCGTTATGCCTCTTCGATCCCTCCCATTTCCACAGTGACTCTCCGGCAGCTGTGCTGCAGTCAGTCTTGTCTAGGAGAAACAACGAGGCAAATGGGAAGTGTGGGACCGGGGAAACTAGAGAGCACCAAAGGAAGTATAGGATTAAAGTCTACGTACTATAATTGGTACTCCGCGTGCAATAAAGCCTCGCGCCTTCTCTACCTGCATTGAAAATTGTATACTTTACTGCGTGGATGATCTGATTATCAAAGGTTATGCTGTTGCACCGACTCGACATCTTCGCTCTGCCTGCCGCGGCATAGCCAGCGGTTATCTGTGATTTCATTGATTGATATCAGGATTTCGTGTTGGCCTAGTCTTTTCCAGCAATAGTCTGCTCGTGTAGGAGAATGGACTGAACGTTTCTTGAAAAGCTGCTTTTTTTTGTTGACTAATAGTTTAACTTCCTAACTACTCTGAATCGACCTGAAAATGTCTAATACAAAGTTCAAAAAGGATAAAGAAATCATTGCTGATTACGAGAGTCAAGTTAAAGGTAAGTTTATTTATAATGTTGTATGAACATAATTTAGCCTACTTTTATTCTATCCCCATTATGAGGCTAACTTCTATTGAATGACAATAAACCAAATCCGTGTCCAAGGGCTAAACTCAGCCAGACCATTAGATGTAGTCCCCTGTAGTTCAGTTGGTAGAGCATGGCGCTTGCAACGCCAGGGTTGTGGGTTCGTTTCCCACGGGGGGCCAGTATGAAAATGTATGCGCTCACTAACTGTAAGTCGCTCTGGATAAGAGCATCTGCTAAATGACTAAAATGTAAATGTGTAAAAAATGTATGGGTCAATTGCGTACCGTAGTTTCAAGGTCTGAGCAATAATCATGCTATTGTACAGATTTTGCCATGAGGTTAAGAGAAAATGTTACTATTTTAAAGTTAATTTTCTGCAATTCTACACACATTGCCATGGAGCAGAGTTTTATATCTTATCTCATGCTATTCTACACATTTTGCAATGAGGCTGAGTGAATTGTTTTTAAAGCAAATGTCCTGCTTTCTACACATTTACCCATGAGGCTAAGAGAAAATGTTTTAGTTTTATACTTAATCTCATGCTATTCTACACATTTTGTAACGAGGCTGAGAGAAATTTGCATTTTTAAAGCAAA